ATGGTTAGGGACCTCACTCCATGACACACGCAAGAGTCTAATGTAATTTGGGATGAAAGGGATATCAAGACAGAAGTTACTGCTGGAGTCACTTTAGTTTGACCATCGATGCGTCAATGTTTTCTGAAATACTTCCTCCTTTAGACCCTGGCTCTACCATTTAATAGCTGTATATATAACCTTGCACAAGCCATCTACCCTAAGTCTGCGCTTCCCATAAACCGAGAAAACATAGTATCATACCTCAGAGGACTCCTGGGGATTGAATGAGATTATGCGCAGAGGCACCCGGCAGTGTTCACATAAACTCAAAGCTCAAAACATTAACATTCCCATTCTTCCCAGTGAGTTTTGTGTCTACCTGCCCCTTTCTGTCCCTGAATATTGAGTACTTAGTATTTCGGGATACTCCCAGTTCTCTTGGCTATCCTCAGGAGAACAAAATAGCTGTTAAAGAAGGAACATGACATCTGGAAACTACGTGAATGAAAACAACAATGCTCAAGAGGAAAAACGAAATGTAAAGACGACAACACTGGGAAGCACTGCATCTATTTTGGTCTTCTCCTCCAGAAGGTTCTCCTTTCAGAGTTAAACTGTAGAAGTTCTGCCGATTACTTCATTAAAGGCGGTTATAATTCCTTTACTCTCCTACACTGACGTCAGTTCTGTCAGCCTCTGGCACGGCTGCCTCTGGGCTTATTCCGGGTGGTTGGAATTGTTAGGTAATCAACTAAGTAGAGTTATCATAAACATGATCTATACAGCAACTGCAGGGAGATGTTATTAGTCACAAGACACACTGGTGAGAATGTCTTCCCACTAATGAACACATGTGTGTGCACAAGGGATGTGGGCCCCTCCCCAGTGCTGCAAGTCCAGAGGGGGGTGTGTACTCTGTGTTTATGTGTGTGTGTGTCGAGAGACATAATTTGCACATACACTCAATTATATTTTCTTCCCTCTCCAAACTACTCACACTCACCCTCAAAGCTAATAACCTGTCAACTGAATTCTGCAGATAACTATTGCTTCTCATCCATGTGCAAACCACCATGCTGGAGACCCATGATACGTACACGAGAGCCAGTCTCGTTATAATCTACTGCAAGAGGTGCACGCACACACACGTACACACACACACATACACACACACCCCTAGATATGAAGGAACCAGGAACCGAGGCTCTGGTGAGATGCCGATTGCTAATGGTCCTCTGGGACTTGAGACTCACAGACACAACTGCCTACGCAGCACCCTCACTGAAACAGCCCCCAGTGAAGCCTCTGACCCAATCACCTGCTCACCCTCCACTGTCGCCCCCCCCTGTGGTCACCCCCACGGCTACCTCAGTGCCACCTTGACTCATCTCACTGGGCTCTCACCCACTCTGTCCCCAAATCCCACTGCACTAACAGAGCATGTACAATCCTCTCATCCCGCCTATTTCCCAGGCCACCAGCCCTGTTCAGAATAACTGCACCTCCAAAAGGTCTCCCTCTCCCAGTCTTACAAAGTTCCATTCGGTCTCCATAGTTACGACCACAGTGGGGAGAAGGCCAATCCGCACGTGCTACTGTGCTGCCTACAGTTCTGCAAAGGGCCTCTCTATCCAGCCTTTCACACCTCGTGACATATTCCACCTCTGGCTCTCCTAAAGGTACCTTCAGCCCCTCAGTGCTCCCGTTACCTCCTGGCTCCCGGACACCCTCACCTGAAGCTCTGGTCCCCATCCTCTTTACCTCTGCGCCAAGCAGGTTCCTATTTTCCATGGGCATCCTTCTCTCCCAGCATTCCTCCCTAACCCTGGCAAGTCCCTGTGAAGCTGCTATGCTGGCTTCTTGGCTGCCCCCCAGCTACCTTGTTAGGTAGGAATCCTTTGTTGTGTGGGTCTCTGTGAGCGCCAAGCAGAGGACAGCTACTCCACCTCCCTGCAACTAGAGCGGCTCAGCCACTTCATGCTCCTACCCACAACCTTAAGTGCAAGAAAATGTCACAAAGACATAGCGGCAGTGAGAGACTATTCGTTGGCAGGAGAGCATCAACAGCCCAGCAACAGAGGTGGCAGTTTCTCTCAAGGCAATGTCAGCAGCAGCAGAATTGCTTTTTTTTTTTTTTTGAGAGGTTTTTTG